TTCACCTTGGATTTCTCATAAAGCAAAGGCTTAAAGCAAAAATTAAAGAAAAACCACGCTCCCATAAAGCTATGGCCTCTCTTTGTGCACTTGCGGCTTCACCCCTTAGGGAGATGGAGGATGGTGGCCTTAACCTCATTCAAATGAGGGCTAAGATCAAGGATCTCACATGAATCCGAGCTCCAGGATGGCGGCGGAGTGGACTGTCTGCAGAGAGGGGAAGCTTGTTGAATCTGGACAGAGTGGTGAAGAGGGAATCAGATGAGAAGTTGGCAGAGAGGGCAGGTGATTGTGTTGCGGCAGACGAGGAGGAGGACGAGAGCGTCTATTGAATTGTTACAAAGGAGGTTGCGGTGGAATGTGTGGAAGTGGATTGGAGGCAGAGGAGCTCGCTGATAGCCGGATTGGAGTGGATGCCTGTTGTCGCGAGCATCGCGGACACCAACGTAGTCGTTCACACGAATTGGACAAGCACGGGCACATATCGTCGGTCGATGTTGCGATTCGATTGCGAGGAACGCGGTCAAGGTCACGTACGGGTGGATCGCATGTGGAGGTGTCTAACGGTATGGTTGCCATCGATGGATTCATTTTGGGATGGTTGTCATGAGATGAAATCATTGGTATGGTTGCCAAGGGGGGATGTGTAGATTCGTCAGTATGGTTGTCGGCTGGTGGAGACTTTGAACGTCGTCGACAGCCTAGCTTCATACATGGCCTTCCCCAAGCATCCAAAACTCCGATCAACGTCAAGGGATGATGTAGCAGCCCGGTGCCCTAATCGATGTCAAGGGCCAAACTTGGCTCTGATACCGTCTGATGTGGGGAGAAACATGGAGTAGTGAGATGAAGAAGAGCTAAATAGCTCTTGGAGATCAAAAACAGTGAAAACTGTTTCAAATTCCAAAAATACTAATTCATTCCTAATTCCTTCATACAACTATTATATTTATAAGCTATCAAAAGGCACCTAGAGAAACTTAGAAAGTTCTAGAAACTTATAACAAACTAATTAACATATGTCTAAGGAACAATTTAACTAAGATGCTCTGCATCAGCGAGCATGGTTGGGAACCCCCAACCCATGTTCAAATCCCCTCTAATGCGGCGCGACCCCTTAAGTGGGGAGAAAATAATTGCGGGTCATGCACCTGTGGGATGATTGTTAGTAGGCTCGCCAAAAAATTATTTACATTGTTACACCCCTTCTAAGAAGATGACAGCGGGTAGATACCCGTTCGAAATAAATAAATAAATCTCAATCTTAAATATAATATAAATAAATATTATATTTGATACGTCATCATGAAATTATATTGATCGGGCACAAATCTTGAGGCAAAACCCAAATTGAAAACTTTTAAAATTAATTCAGAGACCATCCGAACTTTGATTTCAGCAAACTTACAGTCGAACTGAGCGTCTCGGAAATACGAACCCAACGACACCAAATTCAACTCGATCCGAGCCCAAATGGGTCCGAATCATGGACCCGAAGCGCTGTTGGAAGGTTCAAACCGCAATTATGACGTTACAAACGGACTCTTGATTTTTGACGAGCTATACTCGATACGAATGGCTTCGATTTGGATACAATCCACGAGCGCCAAAATCACTGAATTCCGACATCAACTTAAAGCCCTAAAAATCGACCAACAAACGGTGCTTGATCGTAGGATTTCAATCGGCCCGTTCCATTCAACCTACTTCCTATTCTCCCCTGATCTCACGCCTATTTACTGAACATTTGCCACTCCAGAAAATCTATAATAGAGCCCTCATTCTTCACAACAGGGGTCCAAGCCAAAGAACGAGAAGGAAGAGGAGAAGGAAGAGATAGGATAGAAGCTCCTCCTCGACCACTGCTGGACCATCGCAGGAGCCTCGCTGGACCACGCCGGCCCGCGGAAGCTGGCCTTCACCGAACCACCGCTCGGTAGTTTCGCCCACCCGACAAACCAACCATCTTCAAGGCTCGACGTTCAGTGTCCGACCATTGGCTACTTGAAGCCCTGACATTGCAGGCCCGACGTTCATGCCCGACGGAATACTGACAGGTCTTGACATTCAGGCCAAACGTCTGCTCAAGGCACCCGACTATTCAGCCTGACGTCTCATCTGATGGCCCTCCCCTCCAGAAAACCCTCACACTTCGTTAGAAGGCGCCTAACCTTCCTAGTGGCCCTCACTTTTTACTTAGCAGGTCTTCACCCTGCTAGAGGCCTCTTACCTTTGCCAGAGGCCCCTTGTCTCGTCAGACATTATCCTATCACCAGATAGGGGGGTTATGCCGACAATTTACTCTGTTTTTCGCTGCCATCAACTCCGCGTTCCTTCACCAGAACATTCACATAAGCAGGCCTTCACATTTTCAATATTGTCCTAAGCACCTCAACACATCACGCATTGAGGTCCTTCACAATTTCGGGTTTCAAAAAAAGGCCCTCCACACACCTGTGAGAGGCCTTTCACTTTGATGAGCCTCCACCTCGCGTCGCTACAGAGGCCCTCATCTTCCCCTCGCCCAAAAGGCCCTCTCCTCCGTCTAGCACTACCATCCTGAACTCGTCTTGAGCTTAGTCGGAACCACCACCTGAGGCTTGGACTTTCACTGCTGGGGCCCACCTCACCTGCGACGTCCACAATAGTAGTTCTATTCTACCAAAAAGTAACCCCCTACGACAACATCCCTCTAACCGCTTCTGCGCCTACTACTGGTGCCATCCCCGACTCATCCTATCACCGCACACGGTCTTTCGAGAACCTCCCAGTCTCCCCTACTGGACTACGGGGCCTTCAGGCATATTTCGTCGGCCTTACATTGGTCCCACCTCGACTCCATCCAACAGACATGTCTTCTTTGACCTCCCGTTCCTAGTCCGACCTCGTCTCTCGAGCACCCAAACAAATGTATATATGTAATCATCCTACTATGGTTAATTGCAATTGTAGATGTACATTTGCGTATACCCATCTCAATCCAAGGCCTTCTCCCAACGGAAGATGCGCTCATTCTTGTACACGGACAACAACGATACTTATAATCCGGATCTCATTCAAACTGGGCCGGACCCCAGTGGTTCTTCTCCCTTTCCAGGGAGCGTTTTCCACGTACAAAACTCTCAGGTCGTCCTCTATTGAATGTTTCACTCCCCCATCTTTAATCTGTTTGTGTGCTTGGATACGTTCGTACAATGCACTAAGACGTTAAATTCATATATTTCAAATCTTCACGTCCGCGAATATCATCCAAGGACGGAACAATTATTATAAGTTATTTTAGATTATGTAATCAAATGCAATAGTTTTTATTTTAATGATTGCATTTAACATGAATAATGGTCTGTATGGCCGTTGGCAGCTGTGAAAGAAAGTTGACAAGTGCATTTGTATGTAATCATTCCCAATTTATGACGGATTTTGGTAATTAATGTTATTCCAGTAATTCATCTCAAAATATTTAAATAATGAACTAAAGTAGTAAATGTTATAATATAATATTTAATTCAAACTGCTCCCTTAACATACATAATAACTTTTAATACTATTTTCAAAAATTAAAATTATTTCTTCTTTTTCTCATTAAAACTAAATAAAATTATTCATAATATTTAAATATAAATTTATTATTAAATAATAATAAATATTACATTATATATAAAATTTATTAAAAATATTTAATATTAAATTGGGAAAACCAACTTCATTCCTAAGAGTACTACGCCTTTAGATGCTAAATCTATGTTCAAAAGATGATGGTACAAATAGTAGCGATATTTAATCAGGCAAAATTCAAATTGGATGGATTTTGAATTGGAGGAATGATGCGATCTTAGTTTTGTGTAAAAAGTTCCCTTAAACTCTTAAGGGTAAAATTCTATAAGAGGTTGGATAGACCTGCAATGCTTTATGGCGTCGAATGTTGGCCATTAAAAGAGAAGCATAATACTATTAAGTAGACATGTCAATTTCTGTGTCACGGGTCTAGGTTTCGGCGTTCAAACCTGAAACAGACCCTGACATTATCAGTTCGGGTCAACCGACCCGTTTTATAAAAACGGGTCGATTTCTGACCGAACCAGACCCACTACGGGTCGAGTCAACCCGACCCGACTCACAATGGCGTCAAGCACGAACATTGTGCCAACCAGGCCACGGTGGCAACGGAAGCCGGCAGAAAACAGGTGGCGGACGCGTAACCCGACGCCAGCGAAAGAACTCGATCGGCGCGCACAATTGCTTCAGAGCAGGACGATAGAGCTCGGGAGCTCGTGCGGGCAGCGTACGACGAACACCCACACCAATCCTACGCTCACAGTTCAACTGACGAAAGCGATCGACCCGCGCTCTCAGGACGCAACTATAGGTCACGCCGGACAATGCCGGGCAGACGTGCATGGGGCAGCCGGGGTAGCGGGGCTGGCGGGCAGGGCCGGTCAGAGCCTCATTCCCGGGTTCCCGGGTCAACCTGAACCCGACCCACTTCGGGTTCGGGTCAACTCAAACCCGAAATTTTCGTGTCGGGCTCGGGTCGGGTCCGATATTGATAGGTTTAATACTAAGTTAAGTGTTGCAGAGATGAGGATGCTCAAGTGGATAAGTGACTTTACCCTTAGAGATAGGATACGAAATGAGCATATACGTGAAAAGGTTGGAGTGATAAGATTAGAGAGAGTCGCCTTAGATGATTTGGTCACATAAAACAGCAGCCTTCCGATGATCCTTTTAGGAAAATAGATGTATTATATTTGACATATTAAGAAAGATAGAGATAGACTTAAAAAGACTTGATTGGAAAATATTAAAAATTCTATTTCTTTATTAAATTTAAATGAGAATTTAATATGTAATAGGATACAATAAAAAAATATATTTTTAACCCCACTTAGTAGGACAAGGGTTTGACGTTGATTTAATATTTTTTATTATTTATTTAAAAATTAGAGCAAACAAATTCACCCTAGCTAACACGATTAACATATTTTTCCTTTCCATAAATGCGGTCCCCGATACCCATCAACGTAAGACAGCTGCAGCATCGTATTCTGCTCTCCTTTTCTTCTCCGTTATAATCGAACGAAGAGATGTCGGAATAGCAGTTGGGCAGATTTGGGCGAAATAAAGCAGAAACCTAATTGTTGGATCGGTATTCTCCGGTAATAATTCGTGTTTGTTCAGTTTGATTTAGATTCATTTGCTAGCGAGTAGAGACTACTTTCTTCTTGATCCTTACTACTCCATGGATTTCTGTTCTGCTTTTGTGGGTGTTTTTCATTTGCATGATTATGTTTTGTATCCCTCCGAATTTTGGGTGTTTCCTGCACATCAGATTCTGATTGTGAAACTATGGCCTAATAGAAGGCATTTCCAAATGATGGGAGTCCCCAGGGTGTTGAATAGGAAGCAGGGAATATTGATTGATAAACCAGCGGAAAGGAAATAAATGCATGGGGTGAACTGCTTGGTTTAGGGTTTAGGGTTCTACCCTACCTCACCCGCCGACTGCAACCCGCTCGCACCCGCAAGCAACTCTAGCTTCCAGTTTCCTAGCCGACCCTCCCTCCTCTGCAAACCGCCGAATCTCCCAGCCCCTGCCGAACTCGAAGCCTTCTTCGACGACGCCACCTGCCTGTCGGATCGGAAGTAGAGAAGGTAGCTCAGTCGATTGCAAAGATAGCTATCTCTCTTCACTTCGCGCGTTTTCTTCGGCCCTAAGGGCTCACGGCAGAAAGAAGAAAACTGAGAATTTAATTTGCTGTGAGCTTTAACAGTTCCCTTAAATCCTGATTAACATGATTTATCATAAATCCTATTCAAATTCTGACGCAGAGCATCTCTTAAGCCGGGCTCAACCAACAACCATAGCATCCACTACCACTACCTAGTCTATTTAGTCTCCACCACCCCGTAACTCCCTTTTTTTTTGTCTTTTAGCTAAAATAGCATATGTTGGCTTTTCACTTGTCTTTAGCAGACTGATATATAAGAAAAACAGAGAAGAAAAGAGGAGATAGATGTAATACAATTCTCAGAAAACCTTGTTTTCGTTTTGTTTGTTTTGTTCTATTGTCTTGTTTGCATGTGCTGGATACATTTGGTGCAGCTAACACAACAAGTTGGTATCAAAGCAGTCTTCCTGGCAAAGGATACAATGGCAGATGGAAATCCTTGAAACTCTCTTGGCGATGACCGGAGCTTAGAGGCCCTTTGCAGGGTACATACCAGAATGATGCAACAATTGGACGATCTCTCCGCCAATTTCAATCGGTTCACCATCAAATTTCGCCATGAGATGCAAGCCAACAGAGATCGGGGGATGATGAATCCAATGGAGCGCTGAGCAGCACCAACTCACACCCCACCTATTTATGGCAACCCGCTCGAACACGACTTAGGATGGCGACGGACCGAGTGTGTTCCTGACTTGGTTGAATCTGAGGAAGAGGTAGCACCTCCGGGGCATGCCGTATATTCCGATTCCGATCAAGAGGGAGTTGCATTACATAATATACAAAGGTATTCGGTTAAGCACCATCAGAGGCCGATTGTGGAGTTTCATATTAAACTCGACATTCCCTTTTTCAATGGCAAACTGCACCTAGAAGACTTCCTTGATTGGAAAAGGGCGGTTGGATCCTTTTTTGAGTACATGGAAATTCCTGTTGAGAAAAAAAGTTAAATACATCGCCTATCGGTTGAAGGGGGCAGCTAGTGCTTGGTGGCAACATTTGCTATAAACTTGGTTGAGGAAAGGTAGGGGGTATGTCCGCTGCTGGTTTCATATGAGACAGTCGCTAAGGGGCCATTATCTTCATGCGGACTATGAGCATATGTTGTACATGCAATATCAACATTGTGTGCATGGACACTACAATGTTGCCGATCATACTAAAGAATTTTACTGCCTAAACGCGCTGAATAATCTCAATGAGTCAGAGAATCAGTTGGTGGTCCGATATATTGGTGGCTTGAAAGACACCTTACAAGATAAATTAGAATTAAACTCAGTGTGGTCACTTTCTCAAGCTGTCAATTTCACTTTGAAGGCCGAAATGCAAGCAACTTGACACTTCATAGTTATTCGAGCCATCGACACATTACTGATCAATCTAGTGAGTAAAGAGCTGCACCAGCAACCCATAAACAACAATAAATTCCCACAGTGCTAGGACCGGTTAATTCTTCAACGCCCGATCCCAATCTTGCTAAAACCCATCTTGTGGGAAAGGATAATCCTTATTATAAAGTTGCCACTTACAAATGCTTCAGGTGTTTTTAATCGGGTCATAAATCCCACGAATGTCTGACGCAGCCGAGGATTCAGCTTGTGGAAGGGGAGAATGAAAACACAGAAGATCTAAGTAATAAAGACTCCGATGCAGATATCGAAGAATTGGAAGCGAATGAAGGAGATGCTGTCATTTGTGTCATGGAGAAGTTATTGCTAGCCCCTCACCAGGCCATCAGTTCTCAAAGGAATGTTATATTCTGCACACATTGACCCGACCCGATCAGCAAACCCACGAGTGTAGTTGCTGAGTCGTGTCATCTAGGGCTTGGGTAGTTGAGCGTCAACGCGTTGTGGGCGAATGTGAATGGAAACTGGGCTGAGCGCATAGGGCCTAGGCGAGGCGAGTTCGAGGCTGAGCGTGTAGGGCCTAATTGTTGTCGGACTAACAAACTGAGGCGGCCTAGCGCCTGGGCCTGGTGGGTTGATTGGCGGAGGCAGGTCCTACCATAGGAGGCTGGGGTGCAGTCGTACTCACGTGGGTTGGCGAACGCAACCAGTGTCCTGCGAGGCCGCAGGTGCTGACATGCGGTCCGTGGCGACTCGGCTAGGCGGAGAAGAGGGTCACGATGCGAGTTAGTCGGGCTAGCTGGGTCAACCCTCGGGTTTTCGGGTCAACTCGAACCCGGACGACCCGTTTTACAAATGGGTTGACCCAAACCCGGATTTTTTCTGGTCTGGTCCGGGTCAGGTTTCGGGACGTGACAACTTTTGACACCCCTACTTGTGATGGTTCGTATTCGCAAATTAGCCCACGCAAATTGAGGCTTGTTTATATTTCCAAACGCATAAATGATAATGCCTATGTCGTCGATTTGCCGCCATGCATTCATACATCTTCCACTTTTAATGTGGCTGACATTCATGCTTACCAGCAGCCACATGAACTCGCCACAATCAACAGTAGTACTGTGAGTCCTTCAATGGCAGGGGAGACCTGATGCAATGCATCTCTTAAGCCGGGCTCAACCAACAACCATAGCATCCACTACCACTACCTAGTCTATTTAGTTTCGACCACCCGGTAACCCTTTTTTTTTGTCTTTTAGCTAAAATAGCATATGTTGGCTTTTTACTTGTCTTTAGCAGACTTAGAAAAGGTGGGAGACATACTGATATATAAGAAAAGCAGAGAAGAAAAGAGGAGATAGATATAATTCAATTCTCAGAAAACCTTGTTTTCATTTTGTTTGTTCTGTTCTATTGTCTTGTTTGCAGGTGCTGGATACATTTAGTGCAGCTAACACATCAAATTCAGCACAAATCCTGTATCTATTTAGCTTAAAACCTACCTAAATCCCATTGTCAAGCAGTATATTTATGCAAAAGAGGAGAACAAAGGATTTAACTCGCTGATAGCTTTAACAGTTCCCAAATCTTGCTCAAATTTTGCATAAATTCCTTTAATTATTATTAGATATAACTAACTAGTTAAAGATTTGTATTTAAAAGAGGAGATAGATTGAATTATATCTTCTAAAGATTTTATCTAGTAGAAATTCTAGCTTCACATGGTTATCATTTAACACAATCTGATTTGTTGGTATGGCTTATCTTTTAATAGATATTTTTGGCTATAATTAGCTATGCATGCTTACATTATACTACTGAACTGTTTATTATCCTTGCTGAATTAATGTCGATGAAGTTCCTTACAAACTGAAACCAATGAAGATAGTTTTGCCAATTTGAATAAACATTTTAGTTGATGTTCTGAATGGCAGGCGTGCATGATGGTCTCCAAAGCGGCTTTTGTTTTGCTCGGTGTCATGGTCATTGCCTATAGTAGTTACAGCAATGCCAAAAATATAGAGAACCTAAACATAATGGGTAAGTTAAGAAGCTTGATAAGTTATTTCAAACTTCCATTGGTACATTTTCTTTATTTTCACACATTTCACATGAGCTATGGAGAATTCTCGTTTGTCTCCCTAACAGTCGTGTTCTAACAGTCGTTTTCATGCTTAGCTTTTATATGATTGCATGAAAAGTGAATTTTCAAATATTTTATTTGTTGCGCTAAATGCAAAGCTTCTAGAGTTCAGTTAAAGGCCAATGTCAGTGATTAAACTGCTAATATGATGTATCTTTTAAATCATAGCATGTTCATGTTGGGATTGGTTGATATAAAACATCAGTTGATTGTGCTTTTTTGCCTGATGAATGATATTAATTTTTCTACTTATTTTTTTTAATACTTTTTGTATACCCTTGAGGTCGTTGCCGTGTATACAGCAAAGCTATAAAGGACCGAATGGAATAAAGAAAATGAAATGGTTCCACATAATAAATAGGCCTGTCAAAATCAGGTCATAGGTCGGGTTCGGGTTCAACCCGAAACTGACCCGGGTACATACGGGTCAACCCGAACTCGACCCGTTTTTCGAAACGGATCAGTATGCTGAACCCGAACCCGACCCGTTTGACCCAAAAAAATTAAAATTAGTTTTTGTATTTAATTACAAATAAAAATATACACCCTTCAATGAATTGTTAAACAATTTTTTAAAATGTACAACAAAAACATTTAAATTTTACATATCATTTACAATTACAAATTACAAATCAATAAATTACATATCATTTACAAATTACAAATCAACAAAAACTAATAAGCACGGCTCCCTTGCTCAAACAATAAGCACGGCTCAACTTCAAGTCTTCAGGCACACGACCTGTATTCACAGAACAAGGAAGAACTGTATTCTGAGAAATAAACAAGTTATATATGATGCTCATTGCTCAGATTAAACCTTCCAAATCTTTAATCACCGTATGAGGTGTATGTTCAATTAACATTAGCATATTACCATCCAAGGAGACGAATTGTATTTTGCATTAAGTTAGTATCTATTCATTTATATATGTAGTATCTACTCATTTGACTTAGAATACAAAATTACAAATGTCTCCTGGTTGTAATAACATTTATTCTGAAACTATTCCCACTGTAATTTGAGAAGGTTGATCATCATCGCTTCATCACTTCTAAACAACAACAAATAATATTTAATGTTTGATCAAATGAATCATAAGAAGCAACAGGATATACGAAACAACACAAATCAAATGAATCAGCATTCAAAAGAACCAGCAGGATACACGAAACAACAAAACCAGAAGAACTGAAGAAGGAATGAAGCAGCTGGCAGCACATGCACGGTACACCAGCTGACTAGGAGGATACCCGAAAAAACACAACCAGTTTTTCAGAAGAACTGAATTCTAAAGAAGTAATGAAGCAGCACATTCTGCATGAGTGCTGAAGTGCACATACACCAGCAAACCAGCAGGTCACCCGAAACCAAACAACCAAATAAATTTTGGTCTTGACTCTTGAGTCATAACAAATTAACATTACACACTTAACGATACACTGATAAGTGATAACAACCACAAGGCCGACAACCCACAGGCCACAACAAGTCAGTGAAGTCACTAAGTCGGCAAGCAGCCAAGCAGAATAAATGAATAATAGATATTGCCAATTTCAATTTGCCATAACATGTAATCAAAGAAAGCCAAGCCAACTACTAACAAAAAGTCGGAACTTCAATTTTTAAAACCCTAAGCCGAATTTCAACAAAAATCTGTTTATGATTTCATAATAAACTAATTAACTGCATCTTAAGATAAAAATTCGTAAAAAACTAAACAGATAAAAGCATAAAATGTGAAGCCCTAATCGGTATTTCAAAGCCACAGCAACTTCAAATTGGAAGGAAGAATCGAAGAAGCAAATAACTCAAAAAAAAATCACTCTAGTCTCTACTCTCTAGCAGTAGCAGTGCCTCAATAACAAAAAATCAAAAAAAAATTGCAACACTCATTACTTGACTTCAAAGATAACCGAAAGATAAGTAGATAACCAAAAGAAAGTTAACCAAAAAATCAAACCAATGAGGCGATGAGCCGATGAGTCGATGCCCAAGAATCAAAGAGCCGCAGAGGAGGAAATCTCAGTGAAATCGACTAGCCCTAGGTTAGGGTTTTCTCGCTCGAAGAGAGACGAAGTCACGAACGGCGAACGTACTCTCGGTTATTAGGCTAGTTAAATGCCCTAAGGAGGGTAAAATTGTAATTATGAAAACGGGTCGAAACGGGTCATTTTCGGGTTACCTGGGTTGACCTGAACCCGACCCGAAATGGCATATGGGTCAAAAAACAAAACCCCAACCCGACCCGTTTCGGGTTCGGGTTGACCCTAACCCGAATTTCTCGGGTCGGGTTTTCAGGTCGTGTCAAATGTTGATAAGCCTAATAATAAATGCTCTAAACTTGTATGCATGCATTTTAATGATTTTAACTGTATTTGAAAAAATGGTAAATACAGAATGTGGATGCTTTGTTCGAAACTTAATGATTTATGCTCAAAAATAGTTCTTTCAGTCAGTTTCAAACCATTTCTACCGTCTCATAATATGCCAGTATTCGCTATATTCAATAAGCTAATCATTACCATCTAACATGCTTTTCTTAATCAACTTAGCTGTAATGACTAAAACTGACAAACTTCTCAAAACTTTTAGATGCAAATGCTGTTATTACAAGGAATGAAAAATTATGTGAAATTTGTCAAGATTATACCACAAAAGTCATATCCTTTTTTGAGAAAGATGGAACGGCCATTAACCAGACTCTTTATCATGTTTGCTCATACCTGCACTCCTTGGAAGAACAGGTATGCTCTACCTATGCTACAACCCTTAACCTCTTCCATGTTCTGTTAGATAACATGTTTTGTAGAATTTTCACTGAGAGCATAGTTTTCAGTATGTTTGTGGCTTTTTAGAAGATTGATTTCTTATATTTTTCCTATTTTAAATGAATTTTTTTTTGGCAGTGTCTTTCGTTGGTAGACCACTTCATATCCATTTTGTTTGCGGAAATTGCTAAATTGCAACCTGAAAATATTTGTAAAAATGTATATCTTTGTGAGAACAAGGCGTTGGCTCATGAACTAAAGTATGATGATCCCTGCACAGTCTGCCATAATGTTGTTAGTGAAGTTCTCTCTAAACTGGATGATCCCGATGCACAGGTAATATGCCATTGCATTCGCTATGCTTTGCAAATTTATGAATTTGTTGGAATGCTTTGTGGAAGTGATCTGATTCTCTAATGAATATTTGGCTTTGAAAACTGATTAGTTTTAGATATTTTATCTTCTACATTGTAGATTATGATTCGTTTATGTCCATTGGGAAATGTATTTTTATGCGGATGGGTGGCTTTTGCATTTGAAACTTGCTTTAAGATGTAGTTCTGATATGGGAACTTCTCCATATGTGTAGATCTAAGAGAAATACCTTATTCTAGTTATTATAGCATTAGCAAATTTACATATGCTTGCATTTTAGCGCGTTTAAAAAAGAGTGAGCAGCAAGGTACTTCTGTAAATTATTTGCGTTGTTGATGTCTGGCTGTTTCTTATGTTTTTGGTTTCTTCGTATCTCTGCAGCTTGAGATAATTCAGAAACTTCTCAAGGGATGCAGTCAGATTGGCAATTTTTCTCTTCAGGTAAGCTTTGACAAGCTAGCTGCCAAAAATATAGAAGCAAAACAATCTCAACCAAGATTTAAACAATTTATACTGCCAATATAAGTTACAAAAAGCATCCAAATAATTTGTGCTATATCATAGTCTAAGTCTTTGTTTGGGACAGTTTTCTTATTGCTTCTCAAATTAACTTTTTAGTACAAAAATTTTAATTTTTGTATTAAAAAGTTGCTTTAAAAATAGTAAGAAAGCTGTCCCAAACGAACCATAAGGCTCCATTTGGCATAGATTTTTGCTTCATGCTTTTGCAATTGTGAACAATAGAAGCAATTTTATATTTTTTGGAAAAACAAATATTAGAAAAAGTTTATGACAGCGGAAAAGTAGTTTTTTTTAGAACAATGATTTAGCTAGCTTCATAAAAACACTTTTATGGAATTTGGTTTTCTTATATTATTAATAAGTCACTTATTTTAATAAATTACATGTTAATTAAGATCAAGATACTTTATTAAAGTTACACAACATTCATATTATTTTTTATTTTTATATCAGTGTCACCGGTTTCGTTTGTCAAAAAAAAAAAAAACTAATTAGCACTTACGAAAAGTTCTTTAATATGATTTTAGCAAACACTCATTTCATTTATTTAACTACACAAGACAATGCTGAATAAAACTATACAACATAATAGAAGAATGCAGATTTCAGCCTAATTTTTGGAATATAAATCTATTCAACTGAGACACGCTAAGGCTGCAAACGAACCGAGCCGAGCCGAGTATGTGAGTGTTCATGTTTGTCTTCATTTAATATCAGCTTGTTCAAGTTTTATTCATGTTTGTTCGAGCTTTATTGTTTGTGTTCATGTTTGGTTCATTTAAATTAATGAGTGTTCATGTTCGGTTCATGTTCATTTCATGTTCGTTCGTTTAGTGCTTATCGAGCTTGTTTTCGCGAACATATTTAACGAATTTTTTTAACTATCAAACAAATACGTTTATGAACATATCTATGAACAAACACATTTATAATAAAAGCAATTGTCTATGTAACAAAGGCAATGATTATTTATATTTATTCATTTTATAGTCAAATATTAATTATTTTTATCTAGCTTATTCACGAGTTCAAAATCGAACACAAATCAAGCTTCTTATCGAGCTTAATGTTGAGCTTGTTCACGAACTTCAAATGATGTTGTTCGTGAACATAAATGAGCCGAACGCATTAGTGTTCAAGTTTGTTTATTTAAGAATCGAGAATTTAAAATTTTGTTCAAGTTTGTTTGTTT